GCAATACTATTTACCTCTACCCGGGAGACAGGCAAGAGAATCGTAAACTGCCTCTTCGTCGGGCGCGACTACGTATCCTTAAGTTGCACTACCATTTCGACTGGAGCATCGGATTTCATGTATACAAGGACATGGTGGACATTTATGTCCATTTTGGTCACACACTCTCGATTCTCGGCCAGTACTACCAAAATCGTCATCGTTAGCAGGGGGGGGACGTCCCACACAACACTCAACTGGCGTACCGAAATAGACATTCCGTTTGCGCACAATCCCTCTAACCCCTGTATCTTTCCGGCAGATATGGTGGGTGGAGTATCGGTGCACTGCTGCCACACGGTATCGATACAGGTCACATTTTCGGAAAGGAAACTGCTACGTTTCTGACAACGGCAAAGGTCTCGCTTTAGTATAAACCCGAAAATTTGGGAGAGGATGAGATTATCTGCCATATCCGAGGGCAATACCGAACATATGGGAGGGACAGCAAAGGCAATGCGTGCGGCGTTGCCGACCTCCCTTACGCAAACACTTTCTGTCTGTCCTTAGCCTGGACCCTCGCAACCGTCACTGCGTCAGCATCCCTGTATCCGGAAACGTACTACATCATGTGGAGACCGCATGCACATTTCAAGCAAAATTTCCCACACATGAAACAAAATTACGTGCCATCCCCAACGATGTATAAGCTAGCTGCGCTTGTGTTGGTTACCCACTCATCTTCTGCCTAGGCTATTGTGAAATCCTCACCACGTGAGACCTGGGGCGTAAACCGTGAGTCAAAGTTTACACTGGTGGGCGCGATTCGTCGGCGAAGCATGAAATCTCTGGCTACTAGCTCCGGATGAAATACCACGTAGGCATGTCGAAACGAGACAGCGCTAGTTTGTCAACTCTCTCAGTAGTTTTGAAACGAAGTAGCATCTGAGGGCGAAGGATATCCTGCCAGCTCACGTAAAGGGGTTTTTGCAATGGTTCTGCCGTATAAGTATGAACGAGGAAGCAGGTAATTCCCAATAAAATTTGTCCTTCAATGTAGTCCCCCCTAACATCAATGCAATTGTTTGCTCGAGACGAACTTTTCAATAGTCACTGTCAAAAGACTTTTTCATCCTTCTCCTCAAACTGTGCCTAATTGCTGGCTCTTCAGATCTCTTCCAGTCGTCAGAGGAACGCTTTCCACGATCTTTTCTTGTTTGGGCAACAAGAAGTGATCACTGATCATTTTCTTAATTTTCTTTTGATTTTGTCAATTTTTTTTAATCATCAGTAATCATTTACTTATCTTTGCATCAGTCATTCTGGTCATCTTTAACAGACGATAACTGAATAGAATAGCACCGTTAATAACTGAATTAAATTTTGTATTTATACCTTCGGGGAGTCGTAGCCTACTGAAATAATTCAAATTCCTTCGTCACTACTAAATTACCCCGATACCGAGAATACTTTGAACGGCTGTCATAAGACTCTGCTCTGAACACTGTACTCGAGGCAGGCTATGGCCACAGGGTGTGCAGGCGCACTGCGAGGTCGACTTATAGAGGTGATTTCATAGGTTCTTTCCGAGATGTACCGTCGAAAGATTCGTAGGCGCCGGGCTTGAGAAACAGCAGTGTCGCGGGTTGAGAAGTAGAAGAGTATGTGCTGATTGGCTCATAAGAAGGTGAAAGCAGGCGGGACTGAAAATGCCCAAAGTGGGGCCTTCCTTATTCCGAGCAAAAGGCGAAGATTAATCAGGGAATCCAAGTGAGAGACCAGACAAAAGCAGCAAGAGAGTATGCAAAAGAGCAAGAAGAATCTCGGCAACTAGCAATGCAGATGGAGTCATCTAGACAATATTGAACTTTGGCTTCTCTATCTTACCCCTTCAGACACGAAACTTGTAAAAAGAAATTCTCAATGCGGTTCATACTTCTTTTCCCACCAGCAGCTTTCGATCCTCGTGAGTCGATGGTGCGATCGTGTACTAACCGTTTTGATCGTTTACACCAAACAAATCTTAGCACAGCGGGCGACCCGAAGAGGTGTTTGGTTGGCTTGATTCCTGGTCATGATGCGGCTTGGCTTAATACCCGCGCCATTTCTCACTGCACCATCTTCAACATGAAAGTTGCAAACATGAAAAAAAAATCAAGTTTCCAATGGGTTTTTGCAGGAAAGCGAGTTGGAACACAACATGTCGGAAGTGGACCTCATCAGGGCCGCTCAGTCTTATGGCAATTACTTCGAGGCAATTACTTTATAATAGTGTCGACGAACAGAACAGCGGAGTGGGGCTGGAGTGCGGCTTGATCTCTTGTCTATTAGCAACCATTTAATGCTTCAAAAGAGACCTTCTAGATTTTCCTCAAAAAGTGAACTAAATAGGGCGGCTTGTGAACGAAGCATTCTTACTCAGTTACCCTTTTGATAGAGTAGTTTGACTGCCTTCGGAATAATCAAATACGGCGACATAAATGTACGAATTTGGGAAAAGAGAAGCGTTGAAAACCCATTCCGCGATCAATAGAAGAACCCCTCACTCGTTCAGTATTTATGCTTGCAGCCAAGAGGTTGTGTAAGGGGACGTGTAGTGGAGCACAGCCAGTACAGCCTTTTCCACCAATTGTTGCATTATTCGAGAGGCATCAATGTATGGAAAAGATGCTCTGGCTCGTGTCCAGTGCCCCCCTCCCCCTCCCTCAACCTGAACAGTCAACTCTCATCCCACGACCTCAGGCATGTCCCCTTTGTGTCACGACTCGACAATGAGTGACCGCTGGGGCCATCTAAGCCGAACGTCAACCACCGGTAAAAGTTGTTTAGCCTACCTGGGATCAAGAAGTGGCATTTTGTCAAACACTCTATTTAGTGTTCCGACTATTTTATAGAGCTTAATTGAAGATACGAGGGCCATTTAGAGTATATTCGGTGTCGGGGTGATTTAGAGGTGGCGAAGGTGTTTAAATAGGTAGATACCAATAGATAACGACACTCCCTCAGGGTATAAATACAAATCTCATGCAGTTATCATCAGTGCTATTCTGGTAGTTATCCTTAGTGAAAGAAGACCAGAATGACTGATGCGTCAACGTTGAGAAAATGATTACTGGTTAATAAAATTGGGAAAAGGAAATTTAGAAAATGATCGGTGATTACCTCTCTCTACCACGTTTTTCTGACGTGAAGAGCTCAAGGGCAATTAACGACATTTTTTTTTGTTTTTTTGAGGGAAAAGGAAGAAAAATATTTTTCAGAGGTTCTTGAAAAGTTAGTTCCTCGAGCAAGTGAGGATATTGAGGTTATGGTGGACTACATCTGAAGGAAAATTCTATTCAAAGTTTTCTGCCTTTTCCTTATACCTAATACCGAGTACCGAGAACACTTCTCCCTAAGCCTAGGCCAGACATTTCCTACGCACGACGAGACCAAGCATTCACTGCCCTTGAGGAGATTGCGGCCTTATAAACGGGTGCACTTTACCCCAATAACTGGAGTAAGCACAGAAAACGACTACAAAGAATTCAACTCATAGCAAAAAAAAAAATGGTTCAAAGTTTGTTGATGTGAGGTATGTCAAACTCATGCCATCGGCATCATGACGGTGCTCGTAAAGCAAATAGTCAACGCTGCGCATCTGTCACATCATAATGCGTCGAGTAACACTGCAAGCCTGCGTGAGACCAAAGTTCATTGAAGGTCGGAAGAGTTCGAGTTGAAAACCATTAGCACAGGCGCTCTAGGCACGGTTTTTCACTCCTTCACTCTTTTCAACGTGTTATGAAGCAACCAGTCGCTGTGATTGAGGCAGGAGTTAAACTGTTTCTGAAAATCCACGATTTTCTTTCGTGGCCAAGTTTCAGAAAGCCAAGTGAAACAGTTGCCGCTGAAGTGGCGGCTATTGACCGATATACCGTAAGAGGCTGCGCAAGAGTTGAAACGTAGAATGCGGAGAATTGAAAACCGCCAGCTTTGAAATAGTCGTCAATCTAGGCGATGTGCACAGGTTATTGGGAGGTTTAAACACTGCAGTAACCAGTTGTTTTTCTTTTGTGCTCAGTCCAGTCGAAACTTTTAGCTAGCTCGGCTAGCGTTTTTTGAAATTTATAGTTGGTTTTCTCTGCACGATCCTGAAAATGAAAAAAAGTTCGAAAAAGTTCTACGAGATAACAACGAAATCAGCGGTGGAAAGCTCTTCTTTGATGAAAAATAATTCTTGCGCGCTTGGACCCATTTTTGCTTTTGATCCGACAAAAGGCTCCGATGAACACAAGAAAATGAAAGTAACCATGTAAAATTCTTTCCCGAGGGGGATTTTTGAAAACGGCGCATTACTGCAACCGCTACTGCACCCTCTTACTTTGGCCTTCTCATAATGCGCAGCGAAAATGTACCATTTTTTTGTGATGCCCACACGAATCTCTACGATATGCTGCACATCATTTTCAAAATGGACTCTACGACCTGAACGACCTCCCTTGTGAGATTATTCGGCCAAAGGGAACGCAAGCATCGGTATGACGAGCCTGACTGAGCGGCCTGCTAAGGCTGGGCTCATAGATTGCGGCAGCGTCCATCAGCGACCATTAGCGTTCACCAGCGTTCCGAGCGTCCCGCAGCGTCAGCCACTTACGAAGTATGGATATCGATCTAACGCGCCCGCCAGCGTCTGTCAAAGTCTACCGGCATCTGCCAGCGTCCTCCAGCAAACAGCAGGGGCTAGGTGAGTGTACGTATTGG